CTGGTGTTATGACAAATGCTGTATGTAATTATTGTATATATTCTGTAGCATTGATCGCACAGAAGGACTCTCTGACTCTCTCTCCCTCTCTCTCTCTCTCTCGCTCTCGCTGTGTCTGTCTGGCCCCTTGCCTGGGGGCAAAAAGATATCAGAAATGTCGCATATTAATAACGCCCCGGATGGGGACATTTCGTGTGCTGCGTTTTGTGCCTTAATTAACCCTTTTTAAATTGGGCATAATTAGGGACGACAATACACTGAAAGAAATTGCAAGTGAACTACAAAGAGAGAGGGCGAATTAAGTGTGAGTTGAAAAAATTATAGTTGAAAGCCGAAGCAGTCCAGGAGTTGAGACGAAATGAAGATCTTTTTTAGTTTTTCAGTTTGATATTTATGAGAACTATAAAGAAATATAACAACAAAATATTCAAGAAATGTTAGTAAGTAAATAAACATATTTAATTATATTTTTATATTTATTTATTATATTTAATTTTAATTGGAAGTTCATTTAGAGGAAACTTACATATTTAATATAAATATAATTATACATCTATAAATTTCTTCCTTCTCTCTCTTTCTGACTCTCTCTCTCTTTCTTTCTCTTTCTTGGCCTCTTCTCCCTTATTTTCGTTAAGTGTATTCCACAATCGTCATCTCATCATTATATCATTCACATTCGTTAATATTTTTGAAATTTTTTCGCGTAATTTGTTGATATCAATTTACACAGAGCCCAAGCGCTCTGGCTGGGTTTGTGACTGTAGCTCTGGCTCTGGCTCTGGCTCTGGGATATAATTATATCATTTCGATTGATCATGCGCCGTGAGTCTCATATGAGATATGAGCTCGCGTTTCTTTCTCTCTTTTTTAGGTATGATTGAAATACCAGACAGAGTCGACATTAAAACGCTACAGCTCCAAACTTCTAGCAGTGTATATGAGCAGCAATTGCACTATGGACTCCAGTTAGAAGAGGGCTCCAGATAGACAGAGAGGGAGAGAGAGAGAGAGACTGAGGGACTGGCAGTTCCAGTAGAGCACAGCGGGTGTGCTATATAATTGAAGGACAGCTCTCAAGTTCAGACAGGTGCAGGGAGCACCGTCAGCACTTCGGAGTGAATTTGTGGAGGCACTGCTGCCACTTGACGATGATGAATGCGAATGCTTGTGAGCTGCGATCGAGGTTTGGACATAAATGGTTTGATTTGTTGGCAGCTCGTTGCTGTTGCTGTTGCAGTGTCCAGCTCGATATTTAAAGCAACTTTCACACTACCAACAACAATAACAACAACAACAACAATAATAGCAACAGCAATGAGAACAACACTCAATTCGATGTTGGGCGACAAGCCCTAAAAGGCCAAAACACGCGCACAGCCACACACACACACACACACACGCACACACAGTCGAGCTGCGAGCCGAGCCCAAACGGAACTCAAACTGAACGGCTCTCTAAGTAAAGTATATATACTTTAGTATTTATTTGCGCTGCACAAATTTGGACACACGCTGCATACCAAAAAATGTGCACGTAAAAGGATACTTTTTTGGTCCAGTCCCGCCGTCCTGCCCGCGGACAACAACTGGGAACGCTGCAAACGCCAATAATTTATAAAGCGGACAATAAAATGTTATCAAAAAATACAACAAGAGGCGCATGCGGACAGCCTGAACTAAATGCCGCACGCCTGCGCAATGCTCAACAAGTTGTTCCCGCGAGAGCGACAGAGAGAGGGTGAGGGCAGAAGAAGGGCAGAGCAAGGTAAAGAGAGGGAGAGAGTATGCGGCGAGAGGGGCAGGCGCTGTAGACAGAGACCGGGCCCTATGCTACGACGCGTATGTTGATGATATATGAAATCATATAACAGCAATCGGCAGGCAGAACTACAACAGCAACAACAACAACAACACACACACACGCACACACACACACACACTCAGCTCTGCAGATGTGTGTAGTTTATTAAATGACAAACACTTGAAGCGCTCTGTGCGCCAAGGCTCGCTGTCTTTGCTTTGGCTCTGGCTGCTCTTGCTTTATTTATGACACTTCAACAAGTTGCTTAGAGAATTTGCCACAGTTTTATTTATGGGCTGCGCTGCGAATTTCATTAAATGAATTGAAAATAAGGGCAGCCTAGACAAAACTGAATTTCCAATTCGAGTACTAAATCTTATTTCTGCGATAAGCATCAGTTGATGGCTCTGTTTGACATGCAGAGCAAAAGCTGTTAAGAAATAAATATAATAAATATAAAAAAATAAAAAATATGAAATATACATTGTTATGCTGTAAGATTAGAATTTAAAATAATAATAAATATATAAAAAAATAAATTAATTGTGGAGCTGTAACCATAAGCATAAAATAAAAAATATAAATATAAATATTCAATTAAAAAATAAAAATAGACAAGACAAAACAAACACAAGAAAAAGCTTAGTTTGCTAGCTAAATAATAAATAAAAAATATAAAATAAATAATATATATAAATAAGCGAATTGTGTTGCTAAAATTAAAAAAAA